TGCAACCTCCACCTCCTGGGTTCAAGTGATTCTCCTGCCTCAGCCTCCTGAGTAGCTGGGATTACAGGCACCTGCCACCATGCCCGGCTAATTTTTGTATTTTTAGTAGAGACGGGGTTTCACCATGTTGGCCAGGCTGGCCTTGAAGTCCTGACCTTGTGATCCGCCCGCTTCGGCCTCCCAAAGTGCTGGGATTACAGGCGTGAGCCACCACGCCTGGCAGAATATTGTAGTCTCAAATACAATAATCATGGAAGGCCTCTGATGAAGTGATGTGAGGAGTGGACAGATGAGGTCAGGTCATGAGGGTGTTTTTGAGAAGAGCAAGCCGCAGAGTGCAACAGGTCATTCACTCATGTGGGAAGCAGGTGGAGGAGAGATGGTCTGGATACCTGGGTGCAGGGATGGGAGTGGCCAGGAGTACTGACCTCTCATCTGGCTGCCCAGGGCAAACAGAGAGCCGTGGTCGGCTGCAGGGGGTGGCAGAACTGCGCCTGGCAGGTCTGGAGCTGACAGATGCCTCCCTGCGGCTCCTGCTGCGCCACGCACCCCAGCTGAGCGCCCTGGACCTGAGCCACTGCGCCCACGTCGGGGACCCCAGTGTTCATCTCCTCACGGCCCCCACGTCCCCACTCCGGGAGACCCTGGTGCACCTCAATCTTGCTGGTAAGCACAGTCCCCCATCCGTCCTGCCAGCCTGTGGGTCCCCATGGCCAGTGCCAACCCCTTGCTCACCTGCCTGGTCTCAGCTGCCACTGCCCCATCCCCAGGTTGCCACCGCCTAACGGACCACTGCCTCCCGCTGTTCCGCCGCTGCCCTCGTCTACGCCGCCTAGACCTGCGCTCTTGCCGCCAGCTCTCACCCGAAGCTTGTGCCCGGCTGGCAGCCGCCGGGCCCCCTGGCCCCTTCCGCTGCCCTGAGGAGAAGCTGCTTCTCAAGGACAGCTAGTTGGGCGCCCCCCACCCTCCCCCGGACTCGACAGGAGCCTGGACCTCCGGCTTCATTTCACCCCTGCTGGGAGGCCAGGTTCCCACCTCACCACCCCGGGATTCCTGAGTGTCAGTGACTTGGGATTCCCACCCAGGGACTCAAGCCAGCCACCCCCTTCTTTCCCCCCTGCACTGATATCTCTGGGGGTTTCTCCTTCCCTTGTCCTCCCCCTGCTACCTGCTTCATTGTCCATCCCCTGGGGGGAGTGGGTCAGAGGTACTGGAGGGTGCTGAGCCGAAGGGACGGTGGGAGGGGGGTTATGGTTCAAGTGTTGGGGGGGAGAATGGGGAAAGGACACACAGAGGATATGGGAGCCAGGGGCTGGGGGAGGTGGAAGGGGCCGGGGCCGGACCTCCCACAGTGGCTACTCTAGTCCAGCTTCCAATCTCCATCTTCGCATCAACCACACCGTCCGGCTGAGCCAGCCTGCCAGGCAAACCGTGGTGTGGGGCGCGGTCTGGGCCAGGCTGGCAAGCACAATGGCCTCCACCGCCATCGGTCCTGTGGGGCCTCGTGGTTTGGGTGGCCCTTTGCCCTGCATTTCTACCGCTCCCTTGGTGGGCAACCCAGACTCCACCGAACGCTCTACCCGGCACTGGGGGCCTGCAATCGCCTGCAGGGGGCGCACGCGCTGGTGTCGGCCGGCTGGGCTGTTAGCACTGCTGGCAAGCATGCTCCTTCCCGGGTCTGCAAAGCCTCAGGGGCCTACAGAACCCTCATTCCCCATCCCCTGGCTGGAGGCCTTCTGCAAGTGGCCACTCTCCAGGCGAGGGTCCCAGATCCTGCCTGCAGGGTCCTCTGGGCTGGGCCTTGGGCAGCCTCCCACATTCCCAGGGATTTTTCCCCCATCAGTCTGTCCCTTGGTTTTGCAAGCTACTCTTGCAACCTGGGGCTGGCCTCAGTTTGAAGGATCTGCCGTAGATATAGGGGCAGGCCGCGCGCCGAGCCTTTGGGACTTCGGTGGCTGCACCCTTAGCCACATCCATTTCCATTCCTATACAGGATGGGAAGATCCAACAAGGCAGCCCAACCCTTGGTTTAATTTTTTTTTTTTTTTTTTTTGAGACAGAAGTCCTCT